TTGCATCTTGCTTGTCTGGGTATATTTGCACATCTTTAAGCACAGATAAACAAAAAGTGTTATCAGTCCACCAAAGGAGGCATTTCAGAAGGCATCATCAGCTTTTGTCAGTGTATTAAGAGGAATAGCTGTAGATTATAAACTCATATAAGACTTTTACCCAGTGCAAGCAGTAATATCTACAGCCATTCTTTGGGTGCCAAGACATTAGGCTTTATGGTGGGGAAAAAAAAATACATTTAATATTTTTTAGGACTAGTGATTACTTCTGTACATTGTCAACTTCAACCATCATGCTTCTGGGTGTGCTTTTAACACTTTTCCTCAAAAATCTTGCTTTTACCCACACATTTAGAGGCAAGTGCTATCAACAGCTCAGTGTTCAGACACAGAGTTTAAGGCAGCTCAACCACCTGAATTTTATATCTGTCCTTCACTCTGCACAACTTGTTTTTATCAGCTTAACAGTATTTGGACTTGGACAAATGACAAGAATTAGGTTTCTTTCTTTTATAAATGTGAAGCAGTCAAAATTCATTCAGAATAGTTACAATATTCTTAAGTCTTATCGGCTAGTACCTATTTCAACACCGATTGTGAAATTCAATCAGTGTAATGCTATTTGATGAGAGGTTAATTTGAAAAAAATAATAAAATATTTTTTATTAATAATAACTTACTATGCAAAAAAGGTGAAAAGTCAAAATTTTAGAGAGATTGTTTTATGCTGGTGATAACAATGATCTGGTGAATACTGGGAATCTGTTCCTCTTTATTTCTGTACCAATATAGTGCTACTGATCCTACAGCATAAAGGAAGTAATTTTTGATAGCTAATTATGGAATTTTAAAAATATTTTTATAGTGAGAATTAAATTTGTTTGTAAAATTAATTACTTCTGGTTTAATTTATACTCTAAGTAGGTATACTTATCTAGTCTGTATTTTATTACATCAAGCATTTGCATGTTAAAGATAAATTTTAATGAAAGCTTACACATTTCCAGATCAAGTTGAAATTGTAAAACAATGTAGAACCTTGGCCCTTCACAGAGCCTTGAATTCTGACTCTACCCCAAACTGACCTCCCCAAGGAGAAAGTTACCCTGCGCTAGCAGTCACCATCCTGCTCAGGAACAGGGATCACTGCCTGAAGCAGATCACAAAGACAGCAGAGACATAGCTCAAAATCACCCCTGGTTTTTACAACTGTTATTTAAAATCCTTTAGGAAAGGAATTCACAGGAAATGACAGTGACTTCTCATTTGCCTTTCCTAAAGTATTTAAAGCCATAGCTAATTCCCACTGAAGTTGAATAAAAAACCCCAGAATTTACACTTTTTATGGTCAAGTCAGTCACTATATTTACACAGTATCTGGAATTTCCATTACCCAGTATATCTTATCTATGAATTCATGTAATCTTACAAAAATTTAATGACTTAGTTTGCTGTCAGAGGTATTTTTTTTTTACTTCCAAGTCAAACCATATCCATAAGACAGAATGCTGTGTACTTTTTTACATGCAAGCTAAAGAAACTCACCTCTACATTTCTACCATTTGACTCCTCAGCAATGTATGAACCCAAAAAATTTATAAATACTAATTTCGTAATTAATTCTACTTCACACAAGGAAATAAACAGTATTTTCAGCTATGACAATTCACACTACGAACTGTGAATATATTTCAGATAAGGAACAAAGTGTAAAACAGATACTTTGGGTGACTAAAAGATACTCTTAGAAATATGAAGAAACCAAAGTAGTTTTTCAAACTGGGTTTTTTTATCCCCTAAAAACATACAAAGATAGGTGTAATTCCATTTCTGTATCCAAGCAAAAGGAATTAAAAATATTTAATACTCCTTTGCTTTCCACATCTCACGTGTCTCAATCAGAGCTCCCTCTGTAGCAATTTGCTCAGTAACAATGTCTTTAAAATTTGGCCAGGTTTAGCAAGAAGGTAGGGGCTGGATTGATGATTTTATTGATTAAAAGCTCCAAGCAGGCAAAGACCTTACATCTATCTGGATCTACACCCAAATGTGTCTACACACAGAACTTAACACACTGTACAGGACCCCTGCATCACTGGAAGGATTGGAGGCTTGGAAGTGACCATTTTAGGCTCATCTTTCCTTTATTAACACCACGATCTGTGGAGAACAGGCTTGCATAGACTTTTACCTGCACTTTGTTTAGGCCTAAACAGAATGTTCCTAAAACCCAGGCAGACTTGGGGCTTTTAGTTTATTAGGTTTTTTCAAATTATAAACTTGACACTCCACACTCACAGACAGAGAGAAAGCTGTAAACAGTTATCTGGGCCAATGCCTGTTGGGTGCTCTGTTCAAGGGCAGTGAGATGTTCCTCTAGATACACAGGGCCGTACTGGCATGAGAAGACTTTTTGAGCACGTTTCTGTGCTTCAGTGACATGTGTTTATTCTCTTCTCCAAGTCTGAGTGTGCTCTGATGTTCATACAGACATTTACACATAACACTAAAGGAATAATCTTTTTGTAACTTACCCACCAAAAAGTAAAGCTCATCAACAGATACAACTCAGCCACTCCTTCTGCAACCAGCACATTGTAAAAACACTTTGTTCTGAAAATCATAGAAATGTAAATATGAAATTCAGTAATCTGTGAACTCTATTTTGCATAAAGAATTGCAATACAAGTATAAATACATTTTACATCTAAGGATCTCTAATTCTGGCAACATTGCAATGCAGACTGTGCTTTCCTCCTCTCTCATGTACTGCATTCAGAGAGGATTACATCATCTCAAAGAGCCAGAAAAACAGAAATAGACCAGGGAGGCCCATTACAGCAGACACAGAGTAATTAAAAAGACTATAACTTTTTAGTTAGAGAAGGAGATAACTCAAGAAAAAAGGGTCATTATGTTTCTAAAGAGACAAATAAAATCATGTGCAATTTAAGTTCTCGGAAAGGCCAGTAATGCCTTCCATCTGTTGAGAGCAGCCTTGGAAGCACAGGAGGAAACTGTTCCTTGATCTAGCAAAGAATTTAAACTAGCAGCTTAAATATTTGAGCAAATTGTTGGAACCAAAGGTAGTTGTTTGAACTTCAAATTGATCGCTTCACTGAAATAACTCAGTAAGCATTTAAACAAGTAATCAGTGTATTTTTAAGCACTCTGGTATTGCTGAAGGACACTGACATGCTCTATTTTAATAGCAGGACAGCAAGACTAATTCTTTAAAAAAGTAAATCAGTGAAATGTTATTGACTGCACTGAAACTATTAACACACACATGCTCATTCTGTGATGCTGTGATTTCAGGGTAAAATGGTCAAGTAAAACCAATTTAAAAATGTAAACAATTCAATACTTTGTCTTGATATCATCCTAAATTTAAGTGTTTCCATTTTTACGTCAGGTTCCTCCTCCTAGATACCTACTTTTTAAAAAATTCATATTTTATAACTAAATGTTCCACATTTTTTCAAGAATTTTTTGTTTCTTTGTTCCAGTGGGGGACAAAGGTCTGGTTCAAAGCCCAAAAGAGCACATTTTCTGGTTTAAAAGATTTGAGTGCATTAATACTTGCAAATAACGTAGGCAGGTCAAAAGAAATGTCCTGCTTCTTCCAAAAAGAATGTAATTCTGACAAATCACCGGTAACGACATTATACTGAATTCTTCAACAAACCAGAAAGGCATATACAGTCAAAGATTTCCCTAGCAGTCCTACTAGTGTAAGAAAAGAGAGAAAGGTAAAACCAGAACCAACTATTCTCCCTTTGATCCTCATCAGAACCTTCTGCCTCAGGGTTCAGGACTTTCTCTTATGTTAGTAATGGCATGGCCTGATCAAATCTTTTAAACAAAGGTTTATTCAGGATCATCATCAAGCAAGGTTCCAACCACAGAAAATTGCTGTACAGCATGCGGGCATTTTCCTCCATGGTATAGGTGTAAGAAAATAGAAAGTTAACACCAGAGAGGCGGCTCTCTTAAAGCTGCGCCATTTCTACAAAGCTCTTTTGCAGTGCCCAAGGGTCTTGGAAACACAACCTACACTCAAACTCAATTCTCAGTATTTACATTCATACGGTTTTGTCTTCTAACACACAAAATACTACTTCATCTCATTAGATGTTGAGAAACATTATGAATACCTGAAAGATTTTTAAAGGCACTGAATCTCAAAGACAGAACTTCCATTTCTGTCTCACTACCTCCATAATATAATAATATTATTATTATTCATGCACTTCTAAAGTGCACACTGAAGAAAAACTGACAAATCTGCCATATTCTCACATATTCAGTAATTTGTTTACCACCTGGAAGCTTTGTGAAGGTTGCAGATTAGCCGAAATTCACCCTAAAGGCTGAATATTGGGTAAATGCTACAATGGAGAGCAAACTCAACCAGGCCAAGGAATCCCACAGTAGAGATCCCATATTCCCTTCAGAGAGATATGCAAAACAAGCACAGAGGAATGCGGCAGCACAATTCCTCCAGCCAATAAATATGCTCTAAGGATCCTAGTGGGAGCGGGGAAATATACAGAGTAAAAAAAAAAAAAAAAAAAAAACCAAAAAAAACTTCTGATGTATCTTTCCTGGAGTTCTCATGGGAGTCAAAGCCGCAGCCTCACACCCCAGCGGCTTCCAGGCGGTGCCGCCTCACGGAGGGCAGCGCTGGGCAGGGCACGCAGGGCAGGAAACACCTGGCGTGGGCCCAGCTGGGAACGGCGGGATTCTCCCCCCTGCCCAGGCAGCTGGAAGCGATTTCTGGCCAGAATTTGTGACCTGAACCACAGAACAGCCCACGCCGGGTGTGAGGCGCCCGGACCAACACAAACCCCTCAGGCAGAGGGGAGCCGCGCTCAGCCCCGGGCTGTTTCCGCTCCCCGCCTCCCCGCGGCGGCCGAGCCCGGCACTTTCGTTCCGGGGCCTGCGAGGGCCGCGCGGGAGCTGCGCCGGGCGGCGGGTGAGGAGCGGGCGGTGCGGAGGGGCTGGAGCCGAGCGAGGAGCGGCTGAGCAGCTCCCGCCCCACCGCGGCGGTGGCGGCAGGAGAGAGGAGGCAGCGCGGCTCGGGAGCGCCGAGCGGCCGCGCTGTGCGCGGGGCGGGCTCGGGCGGCCCGCGGTCGGAAGCGGCTTTGCGCCCACGGGGGCCTCGGTGCCGCTGCGGCGGCGGGACGGGGCCGTTCAGACACGCCCAAGCGGCAGAACCGCGCTGTCATTCGGTGGCAGAGGCGGCGGCCGAAGGCCGTGCCCGCCGAGCGCCCTGCGCTGTCTGCCCTCAGAAGTTGCGGAGCCGGCCTGCGCTCACCCCGCTCGGGGGATAGCAGCGAGCGGCGGCAGGGACGGGGCTGTGGCCCTCCGTGAGCCGTACACGGCCCCCCGAGATGCACCGCCCGACGTGCTGAGTGGTGCTAGAATTGCGGCTGGAGTGTGGAGGGTACCCTCCACCGACAGCGATTTACCAGGGGTTTAGAGATGAGGTGCAGATGGAGTTGTTGTTTAGACTTAAAAATATGTGTCTGAAATGAGATTTGGGTCTTAAAATTGTAGTCTGTCATTTTCTGAGGTGTTCTGTACTGTATGTATAGTGGTGCAGCCTGGGCACAGCCATTATTTCCAGGCCACAGCGTATCCCTTGGTAGCATCGATAACAAAAGTGCTCCAGGGTGTCACCGTTGAGCGGCACAGAGTGTAAGACATTAAACCGAAAAGAATCGGTTTGCAGGCTGGGAATGCATGTCCAATTCCAGGGCCTCTCGCCCTCTGCTTCTTGAGGAAACTTGATAATAGCACAGGTTACTCTGAGATGTAAAGTATACTGGCTTTATCTCAGAGAAACTTGAAAGCAAATTGCACTAGAAAATTCGTATGCATATTAGATTTTGTGTTTATTTGAGTGGACTTCCCTGACCTTCCAAAAGTTAGACCTTGGCAGAGGGGAAGGTATCATAGCATGCATGAGTATTTAATTTTAGCAGAAAATAACAATTTTTTCTGGGATTGATTTTAATTCGGTGTTGGAAACTTAGCTTAGTTTTTTGGTTTTGTTACTTTCCAATTACATTACGCTTGATTTTATTTAAACGCTTCATTTTGGATTACATTTCAGGACTTACTGTTTGTTTGTTTTTGTTAAACATGACTTTGCTACATGATTTCATAAGTGTGATCCTTGACATGAAAAAGTAAATCTAAATTAGCTGAAAGTAAATCCTGAGAATAACTTCTTTCATTGCATGTGATGCAGCACGAAGTGCCAAAGGCAGTTTATAACTACTGCAGGCTGTGCAGGCTGGGGGCTGCTTTGGGGATCAGTGAGAGGGGTTGTGACAGCACAGCAGCACTAATTCTGTCTGCCCTGCGGTGGGCACACGATCATGTTTCTCATGCCTTGCTCACAGTACATGGTGAAAATTCTGTTCCAGCTGCAGAGGGTGAGACAACAGCTGTCCTGAAGAAAGCCTGACAAAAATCCATCAATGGTACTAAATAAACACAAACTTGTGGAAGTCTAGACTGGGTCAGCACTTACTATCTGGAACATGGGGCACCAAAGCCCTCTTCTAGCTGTTACTTTTCACATCAAGCTCTTCTGCTGGAAAATTTCTTCTATTTCACAGAGTTCTATCCAAGAGGGATTTCATTCAGGTTATTTGGTTGGCCCACATACAATAAATTATAGGATAGAGATCTAAATTAGCACAATTAACTTTTGTCTTGTAAATTTATATCCTGTAGGCATATAATTCCTTGTCAGTAGTCATGTTGGAGACTAATGGGATTGCTCATCCAGGTAAACACTGCTTACCAGTGTTTTTATAAACTTTTAGGCACAGATCTTAACAACAGAGAAATAATAGACTTCTGCAGGACTTAAGTGAGTGGGATAATGAATATGCATCTGTGCATTAAGCATGCAGATCTCAAGTTCTTTCTAGCTGTTTATCTCATGCTCTCCTGAAATCTCTGAATCAGATGATTTTATTATTCTTTCTGTTGTAGGAAATACCTTATTTAATGAGATGGTTTTGTTAAATGGGATAATACAGAATATTTTCCAGTAGATTAGTTCATAGTAATTGGATTTTCATTTAACAACATCTTGTCTGTTTCAGCTAACTATGTCTTTAAATTCATCTACACTTTTAAATGAAGAAAACGCTCAAGAAGCAAAAAGAAATACTGAGTGTTTGGAAAGCCTACTGCAGACTCCATCATTGATTCAAGATAGTCCACTCCAACAATTACAGTTAGCATCCCAGGAAGTACTGGAAAAGGCAAAAAAGAGTGGGAGATCAAAATGCCCCCGATGCAATAGTTCAAGGATGTTTTATTGTTATACATGCTTTGTTCCTGTTGAAACTGTCCCTACCAAAGAAATTCCAACTGTGAAGGTTAGTATTTCTTAATGATTTTTTGAAATATTTTTTGGGTTTTAGTTACTGTGGACAGAGAATAGTCTGTCTGCAACCATTTCTTTTCTGACTCATTCTTTACAGACATTCATTTTGAACACAGCTATAAGTATGAATAAACTACAGTTAGATAAAATAACTGTTCTTACTTGAGGAATTACATGTACAAACACTGAAAACGTTCCAATCCTCACATAAACATTTATATGTCTTCTAGATGAGAATATAGGCTGAAGTCCCTCAGCTTCTCATGCAACTGTGTTTCCACTTAGTTGTTGAAAGTTTCTTTATGGTGCTCTTGCACATTCTTCAATTTCTAATAACTCTGGCCAGAAAACATTATATTGTGAAAAAAAATTTGTCCAAAACCAAGGGTGAATTTTACATAAAATGTGACCTAAAAGACATTCCTATATGTCCTGGTTCTATAATTCAGATAACTGCTCTTAAAATATAAATAGTGTAATGCCTTTCAGCTGAGTTATTGGGGAAACTATCAGAGAGGACTGAGACATTTTGCAAAATCAGTTAGGATCTAAGATGCATTTTGAAGACATTGGAGTTTGAAAGCATCATAAAAATACTTTAGAAATACTTTTGAAATTTGACCTAGTAAACTTAGGTTTACTAATTTATTGTTTACTAATTTACTTATTTCATTGAAATAGTCATTTTCACAGTTGGGTGAATACCTAATAGAGATAAGTATTCATATCTAGAATCATTATATTGCTCAAATTAAGACCACATCCAGCTTACCTTATTGATTCTTTTTCTGGAGATTTTACCACACTACTGTGGCAGCATTCCAAAGTGCATCATTTACTTCGCTATTTGCAAAAATTTAATTTAATAGGTGCTTCTTCTAACTTGTCTCCAGTTTAGTTCCAAACCTATCAAAAATTATCAGATACATTTTAATTACACACCCATAGGAACTTCTCCCAGATTCTGAATGTTTTGTATAGATGTTTGTAAATATGATGATAAATACTGCTTTTTTCTTCTTTTACTCTAGTTGCCTTTGAAGATTGACATTATTAAACACCCAAACGAAACCGACGGCAAAAGCACTGCTGTGCATGCCAAACTCCTGGCACCTGATGATGTTACAATTTACAAATACCCTTGCATTCCAGAGTATGAAGAGAAGAGGCACGAAGTAAGAGATCCTCTAGAGATAGCCAGGCTTTATGCTGGGGAGCTTCCTCCTGCAGTGGTAGTGCCCTGCAGGGAGAAAACCACTGTTCCGTTAGTGCAGCCCATCCTGGGCTCTCTCAAAGCTTAGCTCTGCAAACACACAGTTCTGGACTGTAACCTTTTCTCCAAAGCTGAGAAAGACTGCAGCACTATTTAACCACCTTGAATTTTCTATGTTTGTCTCCTCACATAATGGAGAATTGGATTTACTGTGTATCTGAAGAAATATTTTGCCTATAAATGAAAGAATTCAACTTGGAGCAAGTTAAACAGCAGTTGAATGTTGTGCTCATATTTAGCAGCTGAAATATTTAAATCTCCTTAAAATTTTTAGTATTTGCTATGACACTAAAATTCAAGTCTTGACTCAAGTCATAGCATAGAACACAAAAAAAGTGAGTTATGAACTTGGATGTATATGTTCATTTAAATGGTAAGCGATCGTTTTTGCCCCTCCTGCCCCATATAATGCAGTGACAAGTGACATTTGAACTTCCTCAGGGCTGACACCATTGTCTTGGCTGAAAAATCTTTTTATCCAGAAGTAGTAGAGTTGGTAGTAGAGGCATGGAAATAACATTAATTAAAAATCTCTGTTAAGGATCTCAATTCATTAACGTGCTTTTAACATGGATTTAACACTGTATTAGATAATAGAATATTTTTAAGAGATACTCTTTCATGCTGTCCTGACTTAAATGTTTGTAGACATGGTAGAAAATGTCTGTTCTTTAATATAACAGTTCCTGTTGTCTATTAGGTTTCATTGACAATCAGATCTCTCTTGTTTTCTTCATTCAGGTAGCACTTATATTTCCTGGCCCCAACTCAGTTTCAGTAAAAGATATTGCTTTCCATCTCCAAAAGTACACCAAGAAAGGTGTCTGTTCTAGTGACGATGGCTGTTCCAGAGAGCCCCTTCTTAAACAAGCAAAAATAGAACATGAAGAAGAAAAAAATCCAAATGAATGCATCTTAAGCAGCAGGAGTGAAGGCACTAGACTGAAGAAAATAATATTTATTGACAGTACCTGGAATCAAACTAACAAGATAATAACTGATGAACGACTTCAAGGTAAAAAAATACAAGTTGATACTGAGGCATTATTGGTGCAGAAATGATTAAAGGACATATGTTTATAACAGACCTGAGCACAATGTAAGCTTGTATGTACCCCTATCTCTGAGTGTATATGAAGGATTCAGCAGCTTATTCCAGGGCTGTAAAATACTTCCTGACCCAAAGACTCCGTTACTTTTCATGTCATATAATGTATTTTGCAAAAAGATAATACTAGTACTAAGAAAGCATTTACATTTATTTGTCTCACTTCTCTATTGGAGCAAATTTCCTCAGTCTCAGAGAATGGGAGCTGTCATGTTAGACACTAGAACAGTAGTTTGAATGGCCTCTGAAGGAAGCCAGGAAGATCTTTTTGCAGGTGGCTGCCTACTTTCCAGAGACCCACGGGACCATTTGTGTCCATGTTTGTGGCAGACAGACCCCAAGAAGGTAAAGGAGGGATTTGGGAAGTTCAGCACAGGTTTGTCATGGCTTGGATTCTCTTTCTCCTGAAGCTGTTAATGGACATTTCCATGATGTCACTACTCCAGACAAAAAGGGAATGGCTGCTTGCCCTCCACACCCTTCCAACTTTGAGAGCAGAAACCAGTAATTCTGCAAAAAGTTTTTGTCGTAGGCTCTTTACAAGAAGTTTACATTTAAGCATTCTAATTAAAACCACAAAAGACAAAACAATTTAGCAATAGCATTCCATTTCCTTTGAGATTAATAGGAGTTTGAAAATACTTTAATTAGTGCAAAAACTGCACTTAGCTGGGAGGCAGGTTGTCAAGTTTATATGCTATATATATATATATATACACATATATACACTACTACTGCTTCACACTGGATGCTACAAGGAATTTCACAGACTTTCTTGCATAGAAGATGGATGTTACCTTGCTGTCTAGTCAGTTCATGAAAGAATCCCACATGTTAGTATGATGTATTGGCTAATTAAAATCCTGTTATAAGTATTTAGTTTAACACAAAACATACTCTGTCAGCTACATTGAAGTATTACTGTAAAGATTAGAGGAATTGCATGTTGACGTAATGTAAGGCATTTGAAACTTATTTTAAGAGGACAAATTCAATGAAAGTAACAGGCAGCCAGGGGAACTGAAAATTTCCATGGAAGCCTATGCATATATTAGTCAAAAAGTCTTAATTGGTGTTACTTTGGAGCTCTTGAATGGTTTCCAGTTTCCCCATGACAATGCTGATTTGGTGGACTACTCTCTGCTTTCTAGAACATCTGTTCCAGCTGTTTTGCAGCTCCCTGGGTTCCTGGGCACCTTTCAGGATTGCTGTGAGGTTTAATAGTGTCATGCAAGTCAGTTTCTAGTATGGGAGAACTTTACCCATCCACACATTGGGTGTAACAGTGTGCACAGCCTGTGCATGTATTGCTTTCCTTAGTGCTTGTCATAAAGAACATAAATTGCATTAATACCCCTTTTAGAGATTGCAGTTTTCACTTTGAGGATGAATGGGGCAGAGTTTCCTTAGGCATAAACTGATGACATTTTTATGTTGTACATACATGAAAAATAGAGAACTGTTTTCATTTTTCAGTTCAATTGCAAATGAAGTCATCATCCAACAAAATATCCATCGTATGTTCAAGTTCAAAAAGGAGTGTTCATAATTCCAAATAAAAAGTAATTGCCATACTTATTAAGTTACAAGAAATATTGAATGAAAACATTAATGAAGCCAAGAAAATGTAAAGAAATGCCTTGTGTTTTGTAAGCCTGTATTTATATAGACAGTAAATCTAGTAAATTGTGCTGCAAGAGAAAGCAAATGAGTACATCGATCTTAAAATAAGCTGAGAGAACTTGGACAAAATATACTTCTGTATCTTGGAAAAGTGCTTTATATATCTTTAGAAAACAAAACCACATCAGCTAAAGATAAGAAATACATGAGAGTTGGTAATGTCTAGGATTGATTACTTCATTAAAAGGGATCCCTAGATCAGAAAACAGTTGAATCTAATGTTAATGATGACTTTCTCACATGAGTGATGGAGCTTATTGGCAATATCACCATGATTGTTAAAGGAACTGATTGCTTTGGGGTTTTTTTCCCTGTAAGTTTGAACTGCTTTGTATCAGCCAAATATTTTATTAGCTTATTCATTAGTATTGTGGGGTTTCATGTGAACAGTGCATATTTGTAAACAAACATTGCCTTTGGCTGTATACAGATCCAGTACAGATGAAAAATGCTCAGTAAACTTTTATCCTTAACCCCCTCTTTTTTTTTTTTTTTTTTTTTTATTAAAGGTCCTAAAGTCTTTTGTTTGAAAGTAACTGATACTGCACTTGTGGAAACCTCAGTAGTGTCCGTGGTCTTGCCTTCAGTGAACTTTTGTTTGTATTCAAACCACAATTACGTGGGCGTTTACGTTGGAGGAATCATTCCTGAGATTTACTTCACTGCTTTTAGGGTGAAAGCACTGTGGATTTGATGGAAGTTTTCATTTTGGTTAAGGCTGAGAATTCAAGTGTTGAAAATTCTTGAGGGCAACAAGCTTAATGCAGTTTCCTACTGCTATTCTAAGTTACACATGTGTAGGATTATTAGAGGTAATAATTAGACTGTATGCTATTTTGAGGTTTTGGTTCTGAAATGCCAATAATAACATTTAAATTCAGGGACAGACTCTCCTGTTCAGGTTTTTTTTTAAAATGTTGTAATAGAGATTTCTTCTACAAAGCAGGATACCATACATTACTACCTGCAAAGTAAACAACTAAATCCCTCTTGCAATTACACTGAAAAGAATTCAAGACAGTTTGTAGGCTAAAAGTGTAGAATTACAAGTGCTGGGCTCTAGCCTGAATTTGGACCTTACCGAAACTTCCCTGTCCATAACTTCCAAGCAATTCTTAGACCATACTAGTTTTTGTACTGTTACCTGTACTAAACTGTCCCATGAGACAGAGTATCAGAGTGTGATAGAAAAAGATAACTTTGCAATCTGCTTCTGATATTGTTGACAGGTGTGTACCCTGTTCTTCATGATCCAGCTGCCCGTCCTGTTTAAAAAGTGATAACACATTAAATTGGTTTCAGTTTTGAATAGTTTGTGCATCATAAAAACTAAGATACCTGTTTAAAATTCATCTGAATAACAGAATAGTTACAGAGACTATAAGTAGATTAAAGATTTTTTTTTTGTGCCATACAGACACCAAATTCCCTCTTTCATCTTAAGTGAGAATGCTTTTAGTATCTACTAAAGTTAATTACAAGATGCTGTCATACTTACTCCTGAGTAATTTCAGTGACATTTCAGTTACTTAACAAGCAGAAATTTAAAGCTCCTGGCTCTTGCAAATAGTCCTCGCTTCAGCAACACTCACAGTCTAAGTGATTCTGTTTTACACTTGAAAAGTATTAACTCTGCATAAGATGAAATAATAATTTTCTGAACATTGACAAGTCTTGGTAGCTGTGGGTTTCACTCTTGCCATGTGAAGCGACTCTGCTGTTTACTGAGAGCTGTGTGGCTGTTTGAATGAAAGGATAACGTGTAATTAACTGCAGATTTGGAGATTGTAACCTAGGATTTACAACACTTCATCAAATTCCAAAGTGGTCCAAAAAGGAGGATGAAGTTATTGCCTCAATTTTAGAGATGAAAAGTGTAGGTACAGGAAGAGAAATTATTTTCATGCAGGCACTGAGCAAGCTAGCAGCAAAGTCAGAAAACAAAACTAAAGTATTTTTTGACATTCCTGCCACCAATCCACATTGTCTAATCTAGGTAATCTTTTTTCCTTGACAGGGTTACTGCAAATTGAGTTGAAGACAAGGAAAACTTGCTTTTGGCGTCATCAGAAGGGAAAACCAGATACATACCTTTCCACAATAGAAGCAATTTATTATTTCCTTGTGGACTATCATCAGGAGATTTTGAAAGAGAGCTACAAAGGACAATATGATAATCTGCTTTTTTTCTTTTCATTTATGTATACATTGATTAAAGATGCCAAGTGTTGTGCAGGAAAAGAGTAAGCTGTCTGTCAGTACATGACACTACTTTTTTTTCTAATAATAAATGGCACAAACATAACTAGGATTTTTTTTTTTTTTGCAAATAGACTGTACTCTAGATAATGTCCAGAAGTGAGCTGCAGACCTCCTCCTGCACGCTTGAGGTTGTAGAACTACTCACATGAGCAGTCTGATTAGAGTTACTTATTTGAAAACAGTTACATTTTGCTGTACTTCAACCTACGGGCCTGATGTGCTCACTGTGATGAGCACATTTCCTGAAATGGGAGTGGAGGACTTACCTCTCTTGCCATTAGGAGTGATCTCTTTTAACTGTAAGCAGGAATTAGCATGCTGGCTTTTCATTGTTACTAATACTTATGGCAGATGTTTTCTTTGTGGTTTACACAGCAATACTGATTTTGCCTTCGTGGCATCAAAGGCTTACTGAATGAGCAGATAGTGTTCAGTTGCTCAGGAGAGAGTGGCAGCAATAGAGAATGAAAGAACACATTAATTGAATATGAATTATATACTTTCAAGATTAATTCTGGGAAATTCTTCTAGTAATAAAAAAGTGGTCTCTTTAAACACTGTTATACAATGAATGATTTCTCTAGTACTATTCATGTACTCTTATATTAGGATTATTCTCAACTTCTTGGGTAATTTTAGACTTCTTCAAACAAATTTAGTTAAGTGTTTATTACTGTTATATATTATCATTATTTGGGGGAGCACTAACCTAACAAATATCACTGTGGTATATTGTAGGCACCACAAATATTGGTTCTGACCACAATATTTCTGAGGCTTCCTTAAACTAAGCAGGCTGTGAATCTGCTCTGTTTTTCCTTTTGCAGTAATGGGCCAGATTAGAACATCTAAGTAAGACTTTGTGCTGATGGGAGTTTTGTCATAGGTGTAGTGCTGCTGTCAGAGTCATCACGTGTGAATGCAGTTTTGCCAAGCTACACCAGTACAGCCAGTGCTGGCAGAAATAACAGACCTGAGCTTCAGAGCAGAGTTATATGAATATATTTTAGATCATACATTGATAATTATATTCCTAAAGTAGAAAAAAATGTTTTATTAGAGGTACAATATAAGATGGATAAATATTTCTGAATATTCTTAGAAATGTGTTACTTAAGACAAAATACGTCTTGTCAAAGTGACAGACTGAAAAATTACAATAGATTATTTTTTAAACAAAACATCCAAGCTTTTGTTGTCACTTGTAGCATACTCTCAAGGAGGACACTCACACACCCTGGTGAACATAGAAATAGTGTCTTGGAAAATACTTAAGAAAATGTTTTTATACTTACACAGCAGTCCATACAGGCTCAAATAGCTGGTTTGTACTGCATTTTTAATGCTTCAAGATAGTGAAATCTTAATATTGCTTCAAACACAAGATACAAATACGCTCTCTACATCATACCTCATATTGGTGTGCTTATCTGCACAAGTGCATATAAAAATGCATTTCAGTGGACAACAAAAACATATCCCCATTTGCAGAACAAAATGCTGGTTATGTTATGAAATTATGAAATGTTCATGAACTATAACAGCACCACAGGAAACACAGGCTTGAAGTCAGAATGCGAAAGATAATTTTTATATCTACCTATATACTGAGTTCACGTGCCAAGCAATGAGAAAAATCAGCAGTCATGTCTCAGTGCTATTGAAACAACACTGCCTATTCATTTGGTTCTTATTGCTATTGAAAAGTTATTTTGGCTTTTTTAAATGATTAATGTTATTCCCTTTGGTATGAATTTTGATAGTCTTTTGACATTTCAATCTGTTCTTGTATTTCTTAAACAAAGATTGTTGTATTTTTTTTTTTAAATCACACAAGTATAATAGCTTGAGAAGGAAACTTTCACCCACTTTAAATAAACAAACATAAAATTAACTCACTGACCTAATGTTTTACAAGAACCAGAGAGAAAAATCTGGGGGGAGATGGGGAGTTATTTCCAAGACACGTTTCCCTGAAAACATGTTTTTTATTTAAGAAGCAGAGGTCAGATAAAAGCTTGTATAAGCTGTTCTTCGTTACTTTTGGAAAATAGTTTCATAAGGTGAAAAATTGTTTCCAAATTTAAGTTTTGTGTATCTCACTTTATTTGAACAATGGGAATTAAGAACCTTTTCCAAAAGCAAATTAGTTTTAACTCTCAGATGAAATTAATGTACAGAAAGGATTTTAAATCTGGCATACTGTGTCCAGGAACCGGGTTCAGATTCTTTTTCTTCCAGTGCAACCTCAGTGTAATGCAAGAATCATTTGTTATACCAAGGGACAGAGGCACACCTAATATCTGTAATTCGTTAGTCTGTTGCTATTCCTCTGATAACCTTTTATGGGGGAAGGAAGGAGATTTTTGTCACTTCTGCTGCAAATCTGTCCTGTAGTTGCCCTTTCTCTCATATGTATAAAAATATTTACATCCTCTATTTAATTTTGATGTTGGTATAAGAAGCCAAACCAAGTCATCCATCTCACACCGAAAGCATATTAGTACAACTGATACATTTCCCCAGCTTTGAGACTAAAGAAAAATTTTGTTCCACTAAATGAAAGCAATCAAGTGGTTAATCCTTTCAAGTGCAATTAGCAGCACTGACCTCCCTGTTCTTTAAATTGAGGGTCATAGGGAGGTAAAGGCCAGTTCTGGGCCTTTTCTTTCATATCAGAATACCCCTTCACTATCTCTTCTGTTTCCAAAAACATCAGAGACCAAGAGAGAAAAACAGGCTTCTGCTTCCATTAGCAGTAACTTAAACAGCCATAAGTTAAAGGGGGAGGAAAAGGAAGAGCATCTCTATCTCCTCTCACAACAGGAGACATCTGGCCTCCTGTGGGGAGGCCCCAGATAACAAAGAACCTGTCAGTGCAAACCTCCACGATGTGTTCAGAGAACCATTTTACCTGCAGTCTGGCTCATTCATTTCCTGCCACTGAAGCCATCTGCTTTTGCTTATTGTGGGTATTTTTGTTCTTTGTTTGGCCAGGAGCATGAAGTGGCTTCACTTTAGCATGCCTGTAAGCTTGGTCAGAGGGAGTATTTAATCCTTTTCTCAAAATGAATAAGAGAGGGAGCTGCTGCAAAAAACAATTCCTTTCCTGGAAGGTAGCAGAAATGTCATCCAAGCCGAGGTTGAATAAAGGGTCATGACAGTGCATGGGGTAAAGGTACATTGAGAATGAAAGGAGATGCCAACTTGGAATCTACAGCACAACCTCCCAAAGCACTTGTAATCTTACCTGATTTAAATCCTTTGCTACTGCTTCTTGCAATTTTTTAGTCCATCTGGTTTTCCACATAGTGTTCTTCAGGCCCAACTGCAGGGTAATACAAGGATCTGTTCTTACCTTGCCCTCGCACTGTGTTTCAGTACTTTGCCTGAATGCTCTAAAAATCAGTCTACATAAATAATGGTTGTAGCATACTTGTACAAAATGTAATGTGATATGAAAATCCATCCTACCTACCCCTAGCTTCAAAAGAAGGGAGGGAAGGAAACTTGCTATTAATTTTCCATCATTTACTATAATGCAGTTAATACACTCCCAGGTGCCATTAACTTGTGTCTCAGAGTATTCTGGGACACAAAAGTTAATGGTGATTGCAGCACAATTAGAACAGGAAAGCTTTCTCACTAAGACCAAAATATGTGGCAGTTAAACTCCTGATCTCTGATACCAGAATATGAGGTCATCTACTAAGGTACTGAAGGACTCAGCATAGTTCCTGAACTGTTATTCTTTGTCTTGAGGGACACCGTTTTAGTAAAATTCTAATGCTGTCATGAAGAATGTTAATTGTGACTGATCAAACTTAGTAATACCAACATTTAAAGGAAGTGTTTATATGAAAAATCTACCACATTCTTCCTGTTTGTTTGTTGGGAAAGATAACATGTAGCTGCCATTTTACAGATTCAGAAGAGAAATGAGATGCTGTCAAATTTAGAAAGTAGTATATCACATAAAACTACTCATAGTGGTGTGATTTCTTCACCCTATCTGCCAGAAATAAATTAAAATAATTCTGAAGTTCCAGAGTAAGAGGTGGGAACTAGTTGTCTAATGCAAAACAGACAGCAGACTGTAGTTTCACCTCATGGAAAGTGGAAATTTTTGTCTAACTTTAGCAATACTGGTGCGGTTGCCACATGATTTTACTGCTGACTTCTCAGACCACTGGTGTTGCAATAGGATGTTTAGAAACATACCACAGAAGAGTGAACAGAAGAGAATGTGCTCCACCAACATACCCCAGGACTGAGTCCTGCTCCTTCTCTGATCCTGTGCACTGTGCTTCCCTTACCTGTAAAAGTAATTTCTGCCCCTGAATAAAGTGTCTATCTATGAAACTGGACCCATAAGCCAGTTTAACTGGCATGAAATCTAAAAGCTTTAGTACAATTTCTGAACTTATTTGCTTTGGAGATGGATGCTAATGAACTGAAGAGAATCAAACTCCTTTAGATTTAAAAAAGCATCCTTTTGTCTTTTCTACAGAAGAACAGTACTTTGAGTTCTAGCAAAAGATGCTTGCTCAAGCTGAAACTCAGCCTTCATTTAATTTACTAATGCTAAATAAAAAATTTTTATTTCAATAATGTCATAATGTTTTATTTCTTTCAAAAATTATTTTTACGGTTTCAGTTTCATGACTAAATTGTTTGCCAAATGCAGCGTGAATTTCAGCTGACCTGAAATTGCATTTTCTAGTGATTAGTCGATGCAGCTGAAAGTTGCAGTATAGTGTTTCTGTTCGCAGGTTTCCTTTGGACAGAATCAATGCTACAGTCTTTTTCTTTTTTCATGTTTACAGCAGACAAGGAGGCAATTTGATACAGCTTCCATTGTCAGAAGCATCACATAACACACCTCAGTCTGCTTGAGGCAGTTGGATCACGTTACTTCCTCTTTTAACCTCACACGTGTCTGAGTGTTGTGACAATATTGGCTTTGCTCTGCATACCTGTGTTGGTTAAGGATACAAAAGTGCTTGCATTCTATTCTACTGTGACTGTGTTAGCAAAAAAATGTAACGTAGAGAGCTTTACATCACCAAAAGCTTCCTCTTTTCTTTGAATATGGCTTACTTTTTCCAGAAAACTGGTTTAAAACCAATGCCCGAAGCAGCTGCCAGGGAATTGGCCAACAAAATTATATGTCAAACTCCTGAATGCAGAATGCTCTCTAAGGTAGGCATGGCCAAGCTGATTCTGTTAAGCTAATTCTGTTAAAAGAATTCATTGAAAAAATAATGAAGTAAGAAACAAAAAAAAAAAGCTTGAATTTTATGAACCCCATGAAAACTAACACAGTAGATTCAAACAATTAAGGTAACATGCAATACTTCAGCTGTTCCAACATATGGATGGTCTGATGGCAATGGCCAGGGTTTGGTTTTCTAGGTCTCTGCAAAGTTCTGCCCTCTCTATATAGACAGTAGTCATTTTCAGCTAAACATGTGCCTATGTGTATTCATCTTTCTGAGTCATATTGACTCAGAAAATACATTTCTAGTTTATATTTTTATATGTTGGCACTTTTCTTGTAAGAAATTAATGTGTCATAACTAACTCTATACTAAATTCTGTCACTGTCTTTCAGTACCTTGTTTTGTTTTCCAAAGTTCCAGTATTGGCATGCTACTGATAACAGAATTGGGATCTTCCTGTGCTGCTGAGTTTACTGTGTCATTTGCACCAGTAACCAGAGCCAAGTCTGTATCTCAGACAAAAAGGAAATCTATTACAAAATGTGTTATTATAAAAGGAAAAGCCACTGCTTCAAGTTATCAGGACAACACCAAAGCACATTAATCAAGCATACAATAAATGATGACAGTTTGTTGTTTCATCTGAATGAAAAAATTAAATCCATCTGTTGGTGTTCAAACCTAGAATCCAATCTTGGCAGTTCAATGTGCTAATGAAAACTATTGAAAAAATTTCATGCATTCTCTATGCAAGATATCATAAAAATAAATACTCCTAAGACTTAAGAGGCAGTGTTACGCAAGGCTGTGGTGAGGTCACTAAAAAGAGCACATGTGTGGGATCTGAGGATGACGTGCATCATGCTATACCACACAGAGTATTTCAACACTGCTCACTTACAGGCCAAACCTCCAGTATCTGTTCTGATCAGCTCCTCAGTTCCATGGCTCTGCATGCAAGAAGCACTCCATTTACACCCAATCCACTGCAGCACCCAGAATTAACATTTTAGTTATTCAAAAGATTCCACCACTTAAGATAGTAGAACACAGCTCTAAAAATTGCTTATAATTCCTAAAACCTGTAGCCATGCTGGTCATGAAAGGTATATTTCTAGAGTAACACTATGGATAAAAATACAGGCTTTATTTAGAGCTTTAGTGCCAGCAGTATCAAATAGATATCCCTTGTTCTCTTCATGCTCATTGAATCCTTCAAGGAGCTCTTAATAGGCTTGTGAAATATCTGCAGAAGCAGCACTACTCCCTCTGCTCAACATACTTACCCATGTACCTACCAATTTATTTTTTTTCAAAGTCGTTCACAGTTTGCCCAGTAACGTCAAGCTTAATGGTCTGTACATCTGTTTGGTCACTTAGAGCCTGTATTAAAATCAGCACCATGTTAGAGCTTCCATTTCTCTTGACCTTTCTAACTATAGGGCTGGCTGTGCTTCCCAGGAGCGTGGCAACATGAGAAGAATGAGAGAAGAAAGTTTGGCTGTACCATTTTTCTATCTTCTGCAAGAATCCTCCAAGTGACTAAGGGGCATGAGCCAAAGAAATTTAGTGTACTGTTACATGGAGAGCAGCATCCAGGTCTATGGCACCCCTAGGTCTACTTTGAGCATAGAAGA